TTCCCTTTGAGCTAAATTATTGACCTGTTTCCCTTACAACTCTCATTGCATACATATATTGGCGCTAAAGATGCTGCATTTACAATATCAAATATACTGGCAAGTAATTATACTGGCAAATACACTACAATCTCAGGAAGAAGGTTCATAGCTGCTGATTAAGATTTATTTAGTTTTAAGCAGTTGGATTGGATCAGGTTAAAATATGCAAAAGATTCAGAAAAAAATAAGACAACATTTACATTGCAAACTGCAGGGTACTTGCAGAATATGCCTATCCAATTTAGGATCAGAAAAATCTAATGAACACTCTGAGTCTGAGTGGTGATTATTCCAAACACAGAAGACTAACGGCATTCAAAAATGAGCTGAACAGGAAAGCAGGTGAAAATCAGGATAGTTTGCATGATGAAACAACTGAAGCAAATGTGCAGAACAGGAGCAATCAATGTAGATCATATGTGTGATAACTTACTAATCAAGATCCAAATTACTGGGTCTGTGAGACCTCTGGAGTCATAATATTTAAAACCCTCAATGTAATAATTCTAAGACTGAAATAGGGAAAAAAACAATAATAAAAAAAACCAATCCTGAAACATCCATTTAACTGGGCCTCTCTGTCTCTGATGAGGCTATGCATTTGGATCTGTTGTATAACAATTCAGAAACAACATGCCATGCAGGTGTAACACAGGTCAGAATTGAGCTGATCAGAAATAATAAATGTAATTTGAAATAATTATATTTTCATTTAAAATACCCAAAAAGGGTGATATGATGTGTTATGAACGGGAAAAAATAGTTAATAACAAATAAATGCAAACGTAATATTTTGTTATATGACGGGCGCTGTGTATGACGTCACAGAGATGAGACGGAATACTGAAAAAGAGAGCACGCGCTCGCAAAAATCGCGGGTGTTATTGAAGCGGATTGAAAGTGTGATAGTTGATGATATTGAAGTGGACGATAGCCGATTGTGGACCCTGTAAAATTCCGATGCGGTTGATTTATTGTGTTGAAATCCCCCGGATTTGGTGAGTTTCAAAATAATATAATGCTCAGTCCTCTGAAATGAAGTGTTTATGAGTTCTATTCATGTTCAAAGTGTTTATATGAGTTTAGATGCATTTATTTGGTTAGTTGATATGTGTAATGTATTGAAACGGGGTGCATTATAATTCTGAAGAGCTAAACAATGCTCATCAGCAGAGTATTATCATTTATGTAAATGAATGGTTATGTGTGACAAGAAAAATGTTAAGATGGTATTTTTCACCCAGTTGTGATAATGTATGCAAGATATGTTGTGTTTAAAAGTTATATTAATTGTCTATGATGTGTATGGCACTGTTTGTATGAACAGGTCAGGTTTT